CTGCAGAAGGAGACATAACACGTTAGATGGGAAGTTTCTTTTTTTTTCTTCTTTATCGCTTATTCCTTTTCGCTCTCTCGCTCTCTCTCTCGCTCTCTCTCTCTCTCTCTCTCTCTCTCTCACTCTCTCTCTCTCTCTCTCTCTCTCACTCACTCTCTCTTCTTTCCCTCTCTCCTTTCTCTCTCCTTTCTAACTACCTCCCTCCCCCTCTCTTCCTCCCCCTCTCCCCCTCCCTTATCTCCCTTCCTTCCGCCCACTTCCCTCCCCTCCCGCCCTCCCCTCCTCTCTCCTCTCTCTCTCTCTCTTATATATTCTACCAATTAGCACACACATTACCCTATTTATGTTAATTTGTATCTTGCAATTACGTGTACATAACAGTTAGCATTTAACTTCTGATCCCAAATAATGGTTACAAATTGCACGAAGCAAAATACTGCAAACAGACGGAGCAATGTGGAATTAGCACCATTATATTACATTGCATTACATTGCATTACAATACGTCTTTTTGTCTTCATCTTTTTTTTTTTTGCAACAACTGTAATGATCAAAAATTATTATTCTCAAATGTAGTTCCTTATTTTGGAGAAACCATTAGTTTCACTACTGTCATTAGGACAATAGTTATTTCTCATCTTATTATAAAAGTTATTAGTCGGAGAGGAACACTGTAATTATTACACATAACAATGAAATAGAAAAAAAAAATGTATATTAGAAATAATAGATGATAATAATATATGGTTACCGTATCGTATCGCTGAATAATTGAAATCAGATGAAAAGAATTATGGACAGTGATCACCATAGTTATAATGACAAAAATTATTTAAGTGATGATAATGGCAATGGTAAATGATAATGATGATGACAATACTGATAATAATAATGATAATAAAAATAATAATAATAACAACAATAATAACGATAATAATAATAATAATAATAATAATAATAATAATAATGACAATAATAATAATAATAATAATAGATATAATGATAACAACAACAACAATAATGATAATAATAATGATAATAATAATAATAATAATGATAATAATAATAACAATAACAATAATAGATATAATGATAACAACAACAACAATAATGATAATAATAATGATAATAATAATAAAGATAATAATAATTGTTATCAGTATTATTAACTGCAATTGTTATCAACTTCCAAATTAACATTAACTATAATTAATTATTAATAATCATGCTTTTATTTTACTTTCCCTACATTCATCCTTATATTTTTATCTTTCTCATTTCATGAAAAAAAAGATAAATAAGAATTAGATACGTACATCCACAAAAATATGTTGCTAAAACTTTGTAGAAGAAAAGAAAAGAAAAAAGAAAAGAAAAGAAAAGAAAAGAAAAAAAACAAGGAGAGAAAGAAAACAAGAAGAAAAAAGAAGAAGAAAAAAAGAAAAGATGTATACACACACACACACACACACACACACACTTCCCTCCCCTTCCCCCTTCCCCTCCCCCTTCCACTGCCCCTCCCCTCCCTATCGGCCATTACTTCGCTACGAGACTGGAAAATTAACCCCAGCATGTCATTAGCACCGAATTGAGCGGAAATGAATAAATAGAGGAATGATATAGATGGAAACATTACGGAAAAGAGAAGAAAAGTTAGGGAGAGGAGGGGGAGGGGGGTGAGGGAGGGTAGAGAGGGTGTTTGATGGAGGGAGGGAGGGAGGGAGGGAGGGAGGAGGGAGGGATGGGATGGAGGGAGGGGGGAGGAAGAAGGAGGGATTGAAAAGACTTAGGAAGTGTGGGAAGAGCAATAAATTAAACAATAGATAAATACTCTGATGATAGAATGGTAAAGAAGAGTGAGAGAGAGAGAGAGAGAGAGAGAGAGAGATATCAGAAGAGAGAGAGAGGAGAGAGAGAGAGCGATAAGCGAGAGAGAGAAGACGAAGAAAATATTACATCAAAAGGAAAGAATAAAAACCATTAACTAGTTGTGGAATGCTTATATGTTCCCTTATTTTCCGGAAATATGTCGTAATACCTTGAAGAAATTTTCAGAGCTACTTCCGGTGGGGGGGGTTGGCGGGAGCTGGGGGTGAGGGGGGGGGGAGGGGTGGGGGGGGGGTGGGGGGGGAGGGTGGTGTCATGATGGGGGGGGGGGGGGGGGGGGGGGGTGGGGGAAGGCGCGAGGGGAGAGAGGAGAGGAGGAGATTTGGTAATTTTCACTCTCTGTCTCTGTCTCGCTATCTTTACCTCTCTCTCTCTTTTCCTCTTTTATAGTTATCTTCGTTTCTCTCCATATATACATATGTATTCAAGACATAGGTACATACATATATAAACATAAAACGCTCTCGCTCTCTCTCCCTCTCTCGCTCCTCCTCTCCGTCTCGCTCTCCTCTCTCTCTTCAATCATCCTCTCCTCTCCTCTCTCAAAGATACTCTCTCTCATGCTCTTCTTCTCTCTCTCTCTCTCTCTCTCTCGATCGTCTTTCTCTCCTCTCCTCTCTCTCCCTCTCCTCTCCTCTTTCTTTTCTCTCTCTCTCTCTCTCTCTCTCTCTCCTCTTTCTCATCTTTCTCTCTCCCTCCCCTCTTAATTAATGATATGATAGTAAGATATCGTAATGATACCCCCTACTCCTTCTCTTTTCCTTTTTTTTCTTCCTACCGCTTCTCTTCTCCTTTCTCCTCCTCCTCCTTTTCCTCATCTTCCTCCTCTCCCTCTTCCTCCTACCCCCACCTCTTCTCCTTTCTCCTCCTCCTCCTCCTCCTCCTCTTCTTTCTCCTCATCCTCTTCCTCTTCCTCCTACACCCCCTCTTCTTTTTTTTTCTCCTCCTCCTCCTCCTCCTCCTCTTATCCTCCCCCCCATCCCTAACCCTGCCGCCCCTCCGCCTGCCACGTGCCCCTCCGTGACCTGCCTTGCCCTTGCCCCTCCCTCTCCGCCTCCGCTCGCCTCCTGTTTCCATCGGCCGGAAAGGAAGGAGGAAGATAGAGAGGACGATAGAGAGATAGAGAGAGAGGAGAGAGAGAGAAGAAGAGAGAGAGAGCAGAGAAGAGAGAGAGAGAAGAGAGAGAAGAGAGAGAGAAAAAGGAAGATAGAGAGAGAGGGGTGGGGGGTATGGAGGGGGAGAGGAGAGGATGAGGAGGGGGGAAGGGAGGGAGGGAGGGGGGGAGGGAGAGAGGGAAGGTGTAGGAGAGAGAGAGAGAGAGAGAGAGAGAGAGAGAGAGAGAGAGAGAGAGAGAGAGAGAGAGAGAGAGAGAGAGGAGAGAGAGAGAAGAGAGGAGAGAGAGAGAGAGAGAGAGCAAGAGAGAGAGAGAGAGAGAGAGAGAAGTAGCCGGTATAAGAGAGATTGGGATAGAGCGAGAGAGAGATAGAGGGAAGAGCGAGTTCGAGCGAAGAGATTCTGAGAATAGAGCGAGAAGATGGTCCCAAGTGTGGTCTATGTTTTGCGTCCCATGGGGAGGAGGGATGATGGAGAGGGGAGTGGGGGGGGGGGATAGGGGGCTATCAGCTCATCTTTTGTGTCCGCGTCATTATCGCTGTTGCTTGACACCCACCTTTTATCAGCTTATTATTGTTCGCTGGCTATCGGATTATCGTCTAACATACAAAGGGAGGTGAGTGGAGGAGGGGGGGTATGGGAAGGGGGGGAGGGAGAAAGTGGGAGGGGGGCAGGGAAGGAGAGAGAAAGAGAGGGAAGGAGAGAAAGAGAACGAAAGGTAACAGACAGAACAGAAACGTAATACAAGGGGTCCATGTTATGACTAAGTGTCCGACGGAGAAATGTACAATGTAAATGTGTAATAGTACAGAATGGAGTGATCTTGGTAATGTATATATATATATATATATATATATCTATAGATCTATGTCTATATATATATATACTATATATAATTATATATATATATATTTTGTTTGTGTGTGTGTGTGTGTGTTGTGTGTTGTGGTGGTGTGTGTGGTGTGTGTGTGTGTGTGTGTGTGTGTGTGTGGTGTGTTGTGTGCGTTTGTATGTGTGTGTACATCTTAATCTATCTTGTAATTATTTAGTCACTGGTTTATACATTCCTTCCCACACACGAACCCCACACCTACACACACACACACACACACACACACACACACACACACACCACACACACACACACACACCACCACACACACACACACACACGCACACTGTACATATATTTCGCCAATATTCCCTCCTCGCTCGATCAGCTCCGTCGCTCATTCCTTCCTTTTTGCCTCGAAGTCGTTTGTCTGAGGTGTGACTTGGCAAAAATTTTCTTCGTTTTTCTTTCTTGTTCGATCCTTATTTTCGCCTTCGGGTTGGAAGCGTCGGTTGGATTAAGGCGGAAAGCAAGAGGGGGGTATGCATAGGTAACAGGGCGTGAGTTGGTCGTTGGAGATCGAATGAGAATATGAGATGAGGATGATAATGAGGATGATAATTTAATAATTAAGACAAGAATAAATAATGATAGAAGAGAAGAATAATAAAATAATAAGAATGATAATACTATAATAGAATGATTAAAGGATAATGAGAATGATAGAATAAGAGATAAGGATTAAGAAAAGAATGAGAGAAGAATAATGAGAATGATGAATAAAAAAGAAGGATAAGAATAATCAAAGGAAAAAAAAAAAAAAAAAAAAAAAAAAAAAAAAAAAAAAAAAAAAAAAAAAAAAAAAAAAAAAAAAAAAGAATAAGAGTAATGGGAATAATAAGAAGAAAAGAGAAAAGGAGAAGATAATAACAATATGATAATATAATAAATGTGAAAAAATGAACGTAACATAAGACAAATTAATATCAAAAGGAAGACTGATAAAGAAGGGGATAGAGAGATAGAAATAAAAAAAAATAAAATAATAAACGAAATATTTTTCCCCTTAAGATATTTTCTTCTGATCGGATAAAGAGGAGGCAAAGAAGCAGGGAAATAAAAGAGAGACAATGGAGAAGGAGATAAAAAAGAGAAAACAGAAACA